GGACACCCCTATTAAAAAGCTAGAATTTCATCATTATATTTCGAACTCCTGCTCAGTTGTCTCTGCACTAGCAGCCATGCTGACACAGGTGCGATGACATAATGACGATAGGATGGTAGAGTGTAAATTTCAACCGTAGGCCAACTTCATACTGTTTCTACTGTCTACCGCGTATACCGTGCAGCCCTAGGTGAAATGTGTATATCAACCACAAAACCACAACAGGTGTTGGTCCGATGACCTTAAGAGGTCACCTCCATGAACTGCACTTCAGTAAAAAAGGCAAGAACACAATTTTGAACAGTAATAACGCTTTAGAAAAAAATGGATTTTTTTAACTGGACCTTTACAATGAGCTGTGAGGTTAAATTTGATTGTAACAAATAAACTGACAAGCCTACAACAGGTAAACAGTTTGCAAACATTTTTAGAGCTGGATAATGATAAACTTTGTGCATTTCAACAAAAGGTTTGCTACATATTTCAGCCAGATTTACAAAGAAGACCTTAACGTTTTCTTGGCCTTTGTTTTGCTGTTGGCTGAATAAACCAGACAACTATGGACCATACAAATACAGGATCTTTTCTATTGCATCTTAGCTGTAATTGGACCTCATGTGGCCACCCCCACATTGTTTATTAAATCCTCAGTGCCTGGCTGGGGTATCTAAACCTAGCACACAACCAGAACCCTCCACCAGGCTTGACCTGTGTGTGTAGAGACAGCGCATGCAAAGAGGTGGGTGGGTGTTGCTCAGAGCACCAGATTGCTGATTGAGCAAGAAAAACTACAAAACATTCCAGTAACTAGCGCCGCCGAGTGAGAACCTACAATTTAAGTTTTGAGCTGTGCAGTCCAGAAGCAAACATCAAATGAAAAACACTGATAACACAAATGATGGTGTTTTTGTTTTGGTAAATATTACCTATAAACAAATGAACACTTTCTGCAAGTAAGTAACTGAACTGTTTTACTGGATCTAGAGTTTAAGCGGTGAGATTGAT